ATAACATTTCTATGCCGTCCCTTGCCGAAGCCTCGGGGCGGCTTACAACACAATAAAATACATTGAAATACAATTGGAAGGCTGTTGTATGCAGAAGGTGGTGCTCAGGGAATATTATTCAACCCATTGGTTCTCCAATATGGAGATCCTCAGAGATCTGTTCTGGCCTCCATGCCATTCAGCAGCTACATGAAACTGCTGAATGGGGTCATCCAGGGTTTTGGAGTGCCTTGCCATCAGTATATTGATGACATGCACTCTGTTTCTTCTTTTCATTTTCAACAGGTTGAAGACATGTAAGTATTTAACTCATCCAAATTGAAGCTCAGTCCTGAGATGCTGTTGATAGGTAGTTCTAACCAGATGGAGAGTGTTCAGCCTGCACTCGCCTTGAAGGCACACATTCTTAGCTTGGAGTTCTCCTTGATCCATGGTTCTCACTTGAGGCTTAGGTGGCCTCAGCAGCACAGGGAGCCATGTAGAAACTCTGGCTAAACTACACCCCTATCTGGACACGGGTAACCTGGTTTCTGACAACAGCCTGAAGACTGTTCAGAAACTACAGCTCATGCAAAATAGGGCAGTTGAATTAATAGCAAGGACCCATAAATCTGAACAAATCCGGCCCACTTGCACTGTATGCTTGTGAGTTCAATTCAAGATGATGGTTTTGGCTTGTAAGGCTTTACATGGCACAGGACACAATACATGGCAGAGTGCCTCTCTCAGCAGCAATTTTCCCAGATGCTACACTCAGCATCTGGGGATTTCCTCTGAGTGCCAACACTGAGAGAGGCTCAGAGGACAAGAGAGAAGGCTTTCTCTGTGGTGCCCACTCCCCTTCTATGGAATGATCTCTCCACTGAGACTCACTTGGCACCAACCTTGTCATCTTTTTGGTGCCAGGTTAAGGCAGTCCTGTATGCTGAGGCTTTTAAAGACACACTTGGATATCCAAGGTGTGAGGGGATTACCCATCCCAGGTGTTTTTTAAAGGGCTATTTCTCATTATGTGTGTGTTTTTTTAGCTGTTCTTGATTTTGTGTAAAATGCTTTCAGCATGAAAATTCCAGCTTATCAAGTTCAAACTGAAGCACGGGCTCTTTTCTTTGTGTACAAAAGCCAAGGCTCAGGGAAGAACAGCGCCAACGAAGACGCCAAGAGCCACCTCCACCACACTCCAACTTCTCTGCTCCCTCTGAGCTAAGCTGCAGTCCTCCCAATAGCTGGGGGTAAATGAACTTCCCAGCAACACCCTGTTCTCTGTCGTGAAGCAAACCATTTGGAGTGTCCTGAACGGCCAATAAGCTTTACTAAAACAAAAGAAAGGCCCTGGTGGAGACAAAAACTGCTAGAAACATGCTGTTGACATGGATCAACTCACAGTGCAATCCTAACAGAACTGAAACATAAAAATGCCTACATCTGTCAGCATGCTCCCGCTAGGCATTTTTATGCCTAAGCTAGTATAGCATTGAGCCTTAACTGAATTTTTGAAGTATCCTTGGGGCTTGGCTATGAGGAATGCCATGATGAGTACTTCCACATCAGATTAGATTAATATACCACCCTGCTCTCTCTACAGCTGGGGAATTTTAGCTTCCCCCAGTGTGATGGGAATCATATTGCAAAGAATAGGCAGCTCAAAATATCTCTCATCAGCTTCTACAGATGAAACATGAACCTACCATCCTGGACTATTTGTAAATCACTGGACTAGCAAAAGATGAGTCCTAACAAGTCCCTGATCCTAACAAGCAATGTGTTCTCAAGTATAAGGTCTGTTTGCTGTATTCTACATTTCAGGTGTATCCCCAAAGAATACCAGGGATGCCAGGTTTTAGGTTCAACAGACATCATTTTAATAAGCGGTGCAATGTTGAGGCTTATGATTTCAGAACTATATTTACATCTCAACTTAACTAATAGGGCACTCCTGTGCTCCTTTAACAACATGCCACATTGCTCTATATTCTATTATATGATGATGTACAGAACTATTAAGAAATGCATGTTTGTTGCTCCAGCTTTTAAAGGGTAGTTTTCAGACCTGTGTAAAAACCTGTGATAACAAAGCAGTAAAATCTAAGCAAGCAAGTGCCATTATGGTCTGTTTTGCTCTCAGAGAGTTACATTTCCATTCAGAGGATGTTACCAGAAGAGCCACTAGACAAAATTCTTCAGGCAACTATACTGGTTACACTGACAGAGACCTAGTAGGGCAGGAAGTATAAGGCAGCAGGAACAAGGGACCAAATCCTGGAAACCAGAAGAATGGTGGAATAGAGCTGCTAATACAAGCTCAGACAAAATAATGGAAGCAGAGTGCTCCAAGGTATACAAACTTCTAAGCATGCAGGAACTAAAACTGGGGAGGGGGTGTGAGCATGCAAGCAAGGCCTGCCCCCATATGTTCAGATCTTCCTATAGGGATGCACAGATTTTGTTAAGCCCAATCTGTTGGACTTTTGAGAACTGTCAATCATATCTTGTTCCATTATGCAGTGAGTGACAGAGGCAATTTTTTTTTAACCAAAATTTTGTTCTACTTGTCCTAATATGCATTAGCACTGATATATGTGCTAACTTTATTTGGGTATTTTTACCCCGTCCAATACATTGCTGGTCTCTGGACCGTAACTGGTATCAGTTAATGCATATTTGTGTTAATTTCCACTCACCTCCAAGTGAAAAGCCAGTCTGCAAGTTTGAAGAAGTCTTGTGACCTGAAAGAAGCTAATGAAGAATCCACAGGTTGGATTCAGGGAAATCCAATTGCATTGAAATCCATTCCAGATTTTTCTCATATCCCTAGCACTTGGAGCTCTTTGCTTGTTTGGCATGAAACTCTGAAAGGGGTTGTACCCATATCCTGCTGAACATCTTACCAAGCTCCTCTTAACAGAGGAACTTCTGTTATTGTGGGTGTAGGGCTGAGAGGCTCAGGCTAGTATCAACCTTCATTAAAAAAAATAATGCAGCAATTTTCTCTATGTCTGAAATGTAAGCACAGAGAAAATATATGGTTCTAGAATCATATGTCAGAGAACCACAGCAGGCAAAGGGGTTTTTTGGGTAAAAATTTTACTGTGCTTTAATTTCAGAAGGAATGCAGATAATGATATTTCCTATTTGTACCCCTCCCATGTTTTCCCACTACTTAACCATTAAAAGATAGAGGATCTGTACAATCCTTTTTTGGATGCTTGTGCCAGAAGCCATCTGACTTGTAGCACATACAAAAGATGTACAGCAAATAAAATCCTTTATTCCATCGATTTCTGTAAGAAGCAAAGGAAGAAAGGTTCACATGTTTTAAAACTCTAAATGAGGAAATTTTTTATTTTACTCTTCAACACTTTAAAATCTTCTGTAAATGCTTCCTGCACTAAAGGAAGACTACAATGTTAAACTATTTTATGGAGATAAAGATAATCGCATCTTCAAATATCTAGTTCTATCTTTGTCAGAAATAAAATGCATTGCTACTTCACCCCACAAGAAAGCTGAGTCTGACTTGGGCGTGTTTATGCGGAAGCCAACATTTCCTTCCTTCCTAGCACGGTATGCGCACATGATCAAACCAGCCACAGCAAGAAAACAGGAACACTACGCACAGTGGTGGACGTGACACCTTGAACATTTTGATTTAGGGCTAAATCTTTTATCTGTGATGAGGAGTTTTGTTAAAAGAAATGGGGAAAAAAACTTGAGGTGAACATGAGTTACATTTACTACATAAATTATTTTATTTATTTATTTATTTATTAAAAGCTTTTGTATGCCATCCTATTATACAAGATCTCAGGATGGCTTACAATATTTGAAAACAATTAAAACAACAATTTCTATAAATAATAGAACAAAACAATAAATCACAAAACAAACAGAGCGACTAAACTGAAAAGCTGTTAAATTTTAAAATACTGTTTAAATATAAAGGTTTTGGCCTGGTGCCGAAAAGAGTATAAACTGGCGCCAGGCGTACCTGAGTTACACATAAAAGATGGGTTACACACACCTCCAATGGACTCGCCCTGTGAGGAAGTTGTCCTGAATTCAACAGGGTTTATTTCTGAATGGACGTACTGCATACAGGATTGCACTTTCAGTTGCAGCTTATGCAGTGCAGCACAGTGCAGTTCATGTAACTCTGACTCTTAAAACTGACCTTGCAGAATTATGATTTCAGTTACTAAGTCTGGCTTGCTTCCTGCCCCAGCCCACCCGCCCTGCTTTTTGTAATAGCTCGCTTGGAGCTCTTCAAAACTTACTCCCGCTGCCCCACCATATTTAGTTGGTCCATCGAGGGATATTGACCAGCCATGGATTTTGTAATTTACCTGGAACCTGAATCCAATTGTCCCTTCATATTTAGACATAAAAGGCCTACAGCTCCACTTATGGGCCACTTCCTCTCTAAGCTTGCATAGCATCGTGCCCCAAACAGCTTCCAACTCAAGCTCAAATGGAGTAGACATACAGGATGGCACTGTCAGCCATGCAACCAAAAAACCTGCAAGCACAGGCCACAATGAATTCAGCGGGGCTTATTCCCAGGTAAAGCAGTTCAGATTGGCCCGGCTTGTTGCAACGACACTCCTAAACAACCTGGGAGTAAGTCCCGTTGAACTCGGCTGGCTCCCCCTTGAGTCCGCCGCAAATTAAGTCATGCGGAGCAGACAGGCGAGCTCGCGTGCGACTCGCAGGTCGCGACGCCCAAGAAACGAAGGGAGATGCTCGCTCTCGGCCACGTGCAGTCCTGTAACCACAACACAGGGAGAACCGGATTATCCAGCCCGCACGGCCGCCTTCCTGGAATGCCGAGGCGGAGCTCTCTGGAGAGAGCCATCGCCCGCCTCTGCCCGGCTCCGTGGCAGCCTGCAAGGGGAGAGGTTGGAAAAGGTGGTTCACCGCGCGGAAGGCGGGCCCTCCGAGGCGCTTCGTCACTTTCGCCCTGGTCGCCATCGACGTGGGCGGATACCGCCCAGAGAGTGACACTGCGCGTTTCTGTCGCGCCCGCATCTCCCGTCGCCTTTACGTCCCCTTTTCCGTAAAGAGGTTGGACGAGTCCCCGGCAGGGGGAGAGCAGGCCGAATTGCCCTCTCGCTGCTCGAGCCCGTGGCTTAGGAGCTTAGCCCGTGGAAACCGAGCCGTGGAAGGGAGAAAATCTGAGAACTTCGGGACGGGGCTCGCTAAGACTCCGGCACAAGCCTTGCCTGGATTGCGAGGGGGTGTCAAGTAGGCATGGGCGATGAGAGAGCGGAGAGTTGGGCGCAATGGCAAGAGAGGTCGGTCGGGGGTTAAAGCAGAGGGAGGGTGGACGCTATAGTATTTGGAAGAGCAAGCGGTGAATAGTACACCAAGCGGGAGAAGAAACGGCGGTGACTCAGAGCAGCTTGGAGAGCAGGATGGTGTGATGCAAAGAGAAACGCGCTCTTGGCAGAAGGCGGCTGCGATTCCCGGGGGCTGCTAGAGCCTCCGCGCTCCAAAGAAGACCTCGACCCGGGGGAAGGGCCGATTTGGACCCGTTGCTCAGTTGGAAAGGGAGAAGGCCCCCTCCCCTGGGTGCCCCCACGGCCTGGCAGCGGAAGCGCCCGTATTCGCCGAGGCGGGAGAACTGCCCTGACTTGATGGCTGCTGACGCCGGCATGAGGACGAATGGCGGAGATCCCAGCGGCAGGAGAGCCGGCAGCTGCCCGCCCTGCAGCTTCAGCTACACGCTGCCCAGCATCTCCTCCAACAAGCTCCCCGACCTGTGCTTCATCAGCCGAGGCGCGTACGGCACCGTGTCCTCGGCGCGCCACGCGGACTGGCGGATCCCGGTGGCGATCAAGTGCCTGCAGGGACCCCTACTAGACAGGTACGCGATGCGGATGAGCGCTGCCGGGGGCGGCCCGCGTGAAATCTGGACACCGAATTATGCTTTTTCTTGCCCTTTCTGCAGGGGCTGCCGTGCATGGCCCTCGCCCTCTCTTTTCCCCTCTGAACAATCCTTTAGGAAAAAGACTTCACGGGAATTCGACCTCCGGACTTCTCGGTCCAAGGGCCGAAGCACAGAGGACAACTGTGTCTAGTAGCTACCCCCCTCTCTTGAGCTGTATAGTAGAAGCTGTATGCCCAGTATTAAAAGCCCCCATCAGGACATTAAGGTCCTGTTCTGAATCACCGCACCCCACCCCAACCCCACTTAATCTAGACTTTAAAAAAGAAAGAAAGTGAAGCTTGCCCCAGTCTTGATCGGGTTTATCCGTTTTCGCTGCTAACGTGCTGGAAGGAAGCCTTCCCCATGCCCCCAGCCCCGCTCCGATATGGTGGACTACAGCTCCCATCATGCCCAGTCAGGCTTTGCCCTGGGAAAGGGGCAGGGTGTTGCAAAGCATTGCTCTGCGCTGACTCAGTGCTGTGACGGCTGCTTGGTCTCCATTGTACTCTTAGGTCCGCTCTCATTCCATTTTCCAAGGAAGGGCCACACCCCCTTCCACATGGCAAGGCTTGCGCTGTCGGAGGTGGGAAGGCAGCGTTTGCCTTCCAGTCATAACCTTGGTTTATACTGGAATGGATTCTTGGTGCTGTTTTTGCACTTTCTGTGCTTTTCATTTAACCCCCCCCCCCCAGATATATTGGATCGCGCATTTCAATACCCTCCTGTATGCCATGACTGGCTGGGAATACTGGGAGCTGTAGATCAGCGTTTTCTGGGGAAGTGCAACAAAATGAAAGGCAAGACTAACGGTGAAAACCTGCACATGGCTGCCCAGAAGTAAGTCTCATTCAGTTTAGTGCAGCTTGCTCCAAGGTAGGGAAGTAGCCTAAAAGTCTAAAAAGAATTATGCAACATAGAAAGCATTTCTGTCTTGTTTTTCAGGATGCACTCTCTCTTGTAAGTGCAGATATGATGGCATTTCACAAATGTTTCCTATTTAGGGTAGTGGTGCTTAACTTTTGAGCAAGTTGCTGAAGGATTTGGGTCCAAAGCAAACCACTGTTTATCTCTCTGTAAATCCCGTTGAAGTCAAAGAGGGTGCCTAGGCAGGCAATTCTTAAGATGCTGTAAGATTTGCTTTAGTACAGGGGTGATCAGACTAATGACTGAAGGAGCTTCAGTCATAGAACATAAGAAAAGCCATGCTGGATTTAGGTTAAAGGTCTGTCCAGGCCAGCACCCCATACACACAACAAGCTGCTCACAGGATTGCGCAAGCAATATGGGTACAAGACTTGCACCTGCCTCAGCAACTGGATTGCCACCTCTGGTCAAGGAGGCAGCGCATAGCCAGAAAGGCTAGTAGCCACTGATAGCCTCCTCCCTCATGAATTTGCCCAGTTCCCTTTTAAAGTCATCTATATTGGTGGCCGTAACCACATTCCATGGCAGCAAATTCCATGGTTTTAACTATACGCTACAATGCTAGGGCAGATTCTGTGGGCTCAAGAGGACAAGAATGAGAACACTTGGGCCGGATCCTGTCTGAAAGAGAGCTGGGAAAAGTTAATTGTAATTATTAAGAAAGTAGAAGCAGCACATGGTTCCAACAAACTTGAATTCCATTGATTTCAGTAAGAATTAGCTGCAATTGGTTTCACTGGTTTCCAAAAGGGACTTGGCAGCAATAACCTGTACCTGGATTGTGCCTTCATTTTCAAATGATTTGCCTGGTGGGATTCTGAAGCTACAGCCAGTGATGAGGGTTTTCTGGAAAAAGTAGAACTGAAAAATTTTCCAAAAAAAATCCAGTGTTCTCAGTAATGCTATCTGTTTTAGAATGTTTCTTTGATGCATTTTTACTCCCTAAAATATTCTTCCACAATAGGGTCACCAAATCTCTTATACCTAGTGAAAAGAACTAAAAGTGTAGCCCATGCCAACTTCATTTGCAGTACAAATATATCAAAAGTTTTCCCAATAGCTACAACATATTTCAACTGAAAGCTTTCCAGAGGGAAAAATTATATTAACCACACAATATAGATTAAGTATTATATTCAAATACTGTACATTCAACTCCATGTGGAAATTATTCTACTGCAATATTAGTGATAATGCAAAGACAATAACATATTCTTCCTTATCAGGCTTGCTTATATTTAACAAAAAATGTCTGCACCTGAAAGGATACACACTCGGTGTATATCCTTAAAAAAGAGAGCTGTTATACCCTATATCAACTGATGTAACTGGAGCAGCTTCAGCTTCCCTGACTCTCTGCATGGCTTATTGCATCAGGAAAAAAATTGATTCAGAAAAACTAGTTGAACAGTCCATTTCACTAAGTCCTGCTTGTGGGTCACCTGTGGGCAACTGGTGGGCCACTATGTGAACAGAATGCTGGGCTGGATGGGCCCTTGGTCGGATCCAGCAGGGCTCTAACTGCCTTGAGGGAAACAAACAGCAATCACAGCCACAGTTTCAGTTTTCCTTCTGGTTTTTTTTTTTTATTGGATGACATTAGCAATAGAGGGCACACAGACTATGTGCCATCCGCTCCAATTAGCCTTGAGCCAATTGCACTGTACACAGTGCTTTTCTTTTTTCAGTTCCCACATGGGCAACTGAGCAGTATAGTTGGTCATTGCTTGCCTTAGGATATCCTGAAAGGTATTCTTCTATCTTGTATTTAGTCCATTTTACCAGATTGATCACAGCAGAATCCAGACAACTATAGATAAAGGCAGATATACAGGGTATGAAAAAAAATTCCATGGAAAAATTCCACTTTGGAAATTTTAAATTTTGGAAAATGTGATGCCCTGAATTACTGGTTGCAGCTGTGAAAATTTAACACACAGCCTTGGCTGCCTCCATGTTTCCAAATATTAAAATAGCCTGTTTGGATTGTGGCCTAGAATATCTCAATCTGTTCCAGTGTATCAAATCTGATCACAATGGATAATTTATTTATTTATTTATTTATTAAAACATTTTTATGCCGCCCCATTCGCCGAAGCCTCGGGGCGGCTTACAACACAATGTTATGGTGGGGTGCATGATGGCTGCCATTTTGAATATGCAAGTGTCAGAATCCTGGAATCTCAATTTGAGAAGAGGGAATAAAACTCGGGGTCGTAGGAAAGATCAATCGTTATGAACCTCCACGTCTTTATTGTCTATCCCAGGTTCCCCCGGTTGACTCACGATAATGCATTACCGGTCTAGCAGAGATGAACATGCTGCAAAGCTTCAATACCATTACAGGGCATTTATAGGTGCACAGGTACAGGGCAATTGATGACAGAATGCAGAGATTACAATAAGATTCTGAGGTCATCACATACAGAACAGATAAAGAAATGTCAGTCAATCACACTGTAACAATTAGAAATATTTTAATCTCATTGTTACAGT